GAAATCAACAAGGGTATCTCAGTCTTAGAGATCCACATAGAGAAGATCCCAATAAGTTATATCCAGTTAATGAAGGCTAGAAAACCTGAGATGTCATCATAAGTAAGACATAAACTTACTGAGATGAAATAAATTTTTAAACATATACACTGAGCTTGAAAATTGCTTTACAGATTTTTCATCTGCCTTATCCAGCTGCATATAAAGATTCTCTAGCTGCTTTTCACTACTCTGTCTTCATTAAGAATCCCATGTGACATAGCAAGGTTGTGGTTGCTATGCGTGACTCACTTCCAGCCTTCTGCAGATACTGGTATGCCAGGGATTCTTGCCTATTAAAATTGGGTCAAGGATGAAAATTAGAAGAATTCAGATATCACCCTGTGTTGGACCCAGTAGGGATAAAACTTGTTAAGACTTTTCAGACCTCAAGCCGCTCCTGCAGAAGGCTGACTATGGCTTTGGGACCTATAATGAGGAAAGAGACTATAGCTTTTGCCTGGGATCTCATACTTTTTGTTTCATAGAAAACAGTTGCCACACAAATAGAAAAGTTTTCTGGAATAGGAAATACATCCCTGATCACCAAGATCAGCTCCTCACCGCTGCTTTCATTCAACCCATCACACATGACTGAATTTGCCTGTACTATAAGGCTCTTTGCCATGCAGTTCTAGATTTTGCCAAGTCATATAGCACCTACTACCTACATAGCATTTAATGAAGTCACTGGGGCTTTGTGTGTATGTGAATTTTCCCTTACGTGAAATTCTTTACAGATTTGTTTCCATCTGCTTTTGCTCTAGTGTATCAACACAATCTCTCAGATCTGATAAAAGAAATTTCATAGCAGGTTAAGTAATCTGATAGAGCATTTTCCATTAAAAAGTGCAACTCTAGAAATTTGAATTCATTGTTGGCAACAAGCCTTTCATCTTCAAAAAAGACAAAGAGCAAGAGCCAGAAATGTTGCTTTTGTTTATCACTGAAAAAATGATTCAATTTTGGAAAGATACAGATTAATAAAAATTAGTCTGTATGGGATCATAGCCCTTTTAGGAAAATATCAATAGTCTGGACAGAATATCTAAAAATGCACATGACAATGCCAGGTTGATGACATTGCACTGACAATTCTGGCATAACAAGTTCACAGGAAGTGGTGACTCTTTTTTCTCTCTTCCAGGCAAATCACACAATGACAACCACCTATAATTAATAAGTCAATTAAGAAATTAACTGATGACACCACATCACAGATTTCCTTGAAACTGACCTTCACTCAGAAAGGAATACCTCCCCACAACCCACATGGAAGATACAATAAGGGTGTGTTTTGCAGAACTGGTAAGGATTAATCTGTCAAATAAACACCAGCTCACTCCTTTTTTTTCTCTATGGGCTACAAGAAGAAAGTGATAAAAGCCACCACCAAGACTCCTCCTTGTAGTTGTGCCTCAGAAGCCAGGATTGGAGCATGTGTAGCGACAAAGCTGTTCCAAAAGTGTTGTCTGTTTTACATATGGACATAATCTCTACGGCTACGCACTTTAAAAAAAAAATAATCTCCAATTTTCGATATAAAGTATGTCATCTTAGGATTTAAATAAAATAGTTGTAGGATTCTTCTTGTAAAAATTACAATTTTAACTACACTTGTTGTATTCTAAACAGAGCTGTGTTCTCAAAGACTGAAAGCACTAGAAATGGTCATGGTTAATCCTGAACCACAAAAAAGGATACGGAGGCCCAAGGATGCTCTGCTTTTCTACATAATGAAAAAGGGGAAAAGGATTGGAAATCACCTTCCAGTTTTGAGAAAAATGCAGGCACAGAATCATTGTGTTTTAATAACTAAGGGGTTTATGGATTGTTCTCATTGTCCATTACAAACAAATAATTCGTTTATTTAATGTGCATTCAGTAATCAGATAAAATGTATGCTAAATAAATTGCTGGAGTTAGTCTGCATTAATTTCATTGTCTATCAGTCTGAGAGAAATTTTTTCTATCCTGTAACCTATTAAGCTATATATATGATTTTCATAAAATAGATTACATTGCTATTTTAAAACCACCAAGCATCATGGTGAAATCAGCAGAAAAATAACTTAATGAACTTTAATAATCATAATTGTTTTGGTTATAAAAGATACTTTTCTCCTGCAGATAGTTTGAAAAAAAAATATTCTTTAGCATTACCTAAATAATAAAATTCAATTAGTTCACCTTTTTTTATGAAACAGAATTTTATTATGATTTAATAACATTTTAACTAATATGTAAATGTATGCCTATCAAGGAAGTACTTTAATTGCATATATAGTCTATCATAAGAACTCACTTTCTTTATGCAAGTATACTTTAGTTGATTTAATTATCTAGACCTCTAATTACACAGTCCATACCAATCAACCAAAATGAAGCACTTCTCTAATCTTAATTTCACATGTCAAATCACTGAATATGTTTTTGCATGATTCTCATGTTAATTAGAAAGCCAGACTTTGAATGAATGACAGTGAGTTCATGAGGAGGTTAGGGGCAAACCCAAGAAACATTTCATGTGGGGCAATGCTAGTCCCTATCCATTTATCTTTCTCCAGATGATCTCCACTAGATGAGATATGAGAAACAGCAAGTTTTAGTTGTCTTTAAAAGAACATTTTCAACTTTGTCCAAACTTTTTGAAATTTTCTTTTCTCTTAGTCCACCCACAATCCCACCCCTGTAGCACAGGTTGATATCTTTCGCTGGGGAGAGGTAGGAGAGGGCTGAGATCAAGAAGGATTTCCATTTTTCTTGTGGGAGCTACAGAGGCAAGAACTCTCACTCTTCTGGCTTTGGGTTGTGCTTACTTGGAACATCCTGAGTTATCCCAGCCAACACAGGACATTCTGTGTGCAGCAGGGAAGGCTTATAGGGTTTTGGAAGTTTAAACTGGTTTGCATTTGCAGCTCATGGTGGTGAACATTACATACATCAGAGGCTCTGAGAGCCATCTCATGGGGGAAAAGGAGAAGCCAGGTTTCACCAATGAGCCCTGAGGCTACAGAAAGATGATGTGATATCTTTCTGATCTTAGTTTTCCCTGTCCCAACCTAAGGCAAGAAGACCTGAAAGGTAACTAAGGATGGGTTAGCCCCAACTTTTTCGATATATATTTTATATTTTATATATATATATATATATATAATATTATATTATTCATATTATATATAAAATATATAAAATATTTTATATTTTTCAATATAACTCTTTAACTCACATTAGAAAAAGATTTGAATATCCATAAGAAAGAATGAGAGAAAATGAAAAGGCCACTTGGCCTTTTCCTGGGCTAGAGTATCTCACTTATTCACATTTAATCTGTCACTTAAATACTATTATGTCATCTGTGAAACAGACCCACACTGTTGGATAAGTGAAAAATGAACAGCACACATCTTTAAAAAAATTTAACACTTTGTTCACTGTAGTTAGCTGAAGTACAGTATTCAAAAATTTGAGGTGGAAGGAGAAGAGTGTTCTAATAAAGCCACAGTGTAAGTACTGGTGAATCTAACAGGAGTAGTTTTATGAAATTTGCCCTAACCAATTATAACAACATTAAATTTATTCAGAATGGTGGCATTAATTTAATTCAATTTTCATAAGAAGTGATTTTATGAAGAATAAAATTATTTTTTTAGCAAATATAAACAGAAACAGTTCAGTCCATGATCTCATACTCAACGTGAATTGAGATGAGAGTCAGTATTTGTAAAATAGCAACCATTTTATTGTAAAATTTTAATGCTATTGCTGTTGCAAAAAATACACTAATTCACACCATTTACTAATCTTCAGAAAGTTTTCATACTCTTATTAGGCAAGACCATGAGCCTTTCTTCAAAGCAGAGGAGTGTGAAATGAGAACCACATCTCACTTCAGTCCACTAGAGGGTGGCCTGACTTGCTCAGGGCTGTGGGACTGGATTCACACAGAGATCCAACATTTTATTTTTTTTGACCTGTTGATAACCAATTCTTTGTGCTTTTTCTATAAATCATCTCCTATTATAAAGTAATTTCTTTTATATAAAAAGTATACATGATAAAAAAACCTTTTCCTAACAACATCGATCTGATTTATTGTTTTGTATATCTAAGAGAAGGAGTGATGACAATCACAAATTATTCTACAGTTTTTTAAACCTTCACAGTTTGTATGCCCTTTGGTCACGGGCACAGAATAAATAGGGAAAAAATAAAACATTCACCAAAGAGCATGGCATAAAGGGGGAAAGAAGAAAGAAAGGGAAGGAAAATTCTGGGAACATATATTGTTTATATAATTGGATGGCCATAAAAGACAAACTCAAGAAAAGAGAGAGATTGAGAGAAACTGACTTTTTCTTTAACTAACCCATTTCATAGTTCATTCTGAAATTTTAATTCTCAGGAAGATGTATTATTCCTTTCTATTGATAAGCACAGGTAGTAAAATGTAATATTTAAGAAAATTCAGAAGAGGAAGAATACGTAAAATCTTTTCCTGTCTTAAGCTTAAAAAAACAAAAAAAATTAAAAAAAAAGAGTCACCAATACTATGGGCAAGGCACAACACCTATTTCCTGAATGGTTTCATCATGAGGTATCCTCTGAACTACAGCAGCCTTTGCAGAACTTCGGCGATGTCTAATAAGTTGTTGCGAGTACAGATAACAGCCTTTAGAAGAAAAAAAATAATAAATAAATAAATAAATAAATAAATAAATAAATAAATAAAGGGGGGGGTGAGGGGAGAAAATCTGGACCTCCCAGTGTGTTCTGTACAGGCAGAAAGCGTGCCCTGTAGCTCCCGCGAATGGGAAGAGCGATGTGGGCGCGCTCACGGGCTGCTTCCGTGCATCCGCAGCCGAGCGGCAGCGGCAGCGGCAGCAGCAGCAGAACCAGCAGCGGCAGCAGCAGCAGCAGCAGCAGCAGCGGCAGCAGCAGCAGCAGCAGCAGCAGCAGCAGTGTCACGTAGCAGCAGCAGCTCGGCAGGGCCGGCGGCCCCGCTGCTGACGAGCGGGCAGCAGCGCGCCCGAGGCACAGCCCAGAGCCCGAGCTCCGCCATGGAAAGCAGGGGAAGGAAGAGCAGCTAGCCAGCTTCTCTCTCCCTCTCGCTCTCCAATCCCCCGCGCCCCCCCTCTCTCTCCCCGCTGGATTGCGAGCCTCAGACAGCCAGGCAGCAACAGCGCCTGGCAAACGCAAGGGATCTCAGCTGGCAGCACGGAGAGTCTCTCGTGTTGCAGGATATCAATAGATACATCTTTGTATTATAGGCTGTTAGACACGCATGCACGCCGACTCACACCCATCCATACATGTGTGCTCATCTGTTCAGGCGCTGGCTTTAATACAAGTATGTCGCTACCTGAACTAAGGATTCAAAATTACTGAGATGCAAGAACTCCTCCAGCTCTGAAACTACTCTTATTATAGGGTAAGTTCCTCTTTATTTTCAATTTTATCCTGACTTTTATCTTAACTTCTAGACTCTTTCCCCTTTCTTCTTTTGTAAAGTTATTTTATTGGTGTATTTTCACATTTTACTTTCTGAACAGAAATGCAAATGCAATATGGGGGTTTTTTTATCTAAATATGCTTGCAATAGTATCAGATTTGTGCATTTTTTACCCTGAAAGAACATCAAAGGATTAAAAAAAATATGTTTCCACTGATATTTCAGAGGCAGTATCAAATTAAACACTTGCTCTGTGTTTTGAAACCAATAAAACAAGATACAGGACAGCCTTCTTTCTTCTCTCCAGTGCTAGGATTAAGGGAAATGCTGTTTATGTCAAGACCTAAAAACCACTGAGCAATGAGGCTGAATGAGCATATCACAAACAGTTATTGAATTTCTGCCAGGCTACATCTTAAGGACTGTGGCAAATGACTTAGCTTAAAAACATCCTCTTTGCAGTCAGAAGGGACAGTGTGAATGTCTGATTACTGATGAAGCTGGAACGGACAGGTTAGGTAAAAGGGATCACATTAAGCAGAGGAGTTCTAATCTTCTTTGGTAATTAACAGCATCTCAGCAGGGTCCCTCTATTTACATGGGAGGAGAGTGTTTAAATCCATCACTATAAAAGCTTTGCCTGTTTTAGTAGAGCAAGGCTCAGAACTGTTTGTCTTCGCTTTCCATGTCTTTGTTTTCACATGTCGAGCTGGAGTTTTTGCCCAGCACTGCTGATGAGAAAGAGAACCCAACACAGGGGGAAGGAGAAGGCAGCAAATGCAGGGAGCTAGAAAAATATCAGAGATTTTCTATTGAACCAATTTAATCAACTTAAAATTCCAGGCTAGCACTACAGTTGTCTAACGTGCTTGTGCTTATGCATGTGTATGTCATTACTTCCATGCAGTACCAGAGTACCTCAGCATCCTTTCAGATGAACACACATTCGGTAAAGTGCATCAGCATGGATCTGTGATTCATGCATCAGTGAAAGACAGAGATAGATTTTACTTTACACCGTGAAAAAGACAGGTTAGCCCTCTAATGCTTGCTTCAAAGTGAAAAAAATACAGTCTGCATCTTCCCATATGCTTTTGTTTGCTTTTTAGAGTACTACAACTGTATTAAAAACACCTCAGTATTTTGATTATTTCTCCTACCCCTTTTTCTCCCTTCAGCCCCCTCACGTCTGTGCACTCCGGAGAACATCATAGAGATTCTGTTCCTTTGCACCAATGTAATTATTTGTTTGTAATTTTAGAGCTACTGTGTTCTGAGAAACAAGCACTGTGAAAGAACCATCAACAGATAGCCACTGGCTTTAAGTCTGTCACCTTTCCAAAAATGACAGAAAATGGGTAGCTTAACAATACGTATGGTAAGAAGTCAATTAATTCAGGTGACCTTTGTAGATGGTGACAATAAAGCAGCTCTGACAATATGCCACAGCATTTGACATTCCCTCTGGAAAATGAATGAGCTTAAGAAGAGGTTTTCTTTTCAGAGTACAAAATGAAAGGTATTGAAGCATTAGCTCCTGCTATTGGCAAGCTTCCTTCCTCTATTTTAGGTTGTCTGTGAAACCTGTTTAAAGCAAGCTGACTTATTTTATTACATGAAACACAATCTCTGGTCTAATTAATTAAATATCCTGTTTTCATTCACACTGCATGTGCACTTTAGTTGTTAAGCATTTCCAGTTCCTGGTCTGCATTTTTACACAAAATGTGCTATAAAATAAGTGGAGAAAATCTGATTCTGATCTCCTCATGCTATGTGCAAAGGACTACTCAGAGGAAACTTTTTCTACATGCCTCGGTAGATGATCAGCTTTTCTAAATGTTTATCCTCATTCATTTTTGATGTAGAAAATAAGTAAATATGGGTAACTTTACACAAATGCATCTTAGGTTTTGCCACATATACTGCAATGTGATTCTTCAAAATATGATATAGATATGCCAAAGAGCTTCAGAAAAATGTGGCCATTTCAATCATACATGTACAGAGAACATACGGTGTAGATGAAGCATCTCTACACAGCATAGACATTCTTAACCAGCAAAGCAGGCAAAATGTATGGTAACTGTATTTTGGTTAATACTCCCTCAAAGCTCCTGCAATAATGTTGTAGTGTCAGCCAAGGACTGGCTGATGTTGTTATGGTAACCCTAAAGTCCCGCCTTTTAGGGTGGCAGCTCTGAGCGTGACATCAGAGTATGCCTGCTTGGAGTACCCTGAAGTGGGTGAGTACCTCATTTTCGCACCTGAATTAGACCAGATCAACTAAGCAACGTTGCTACCTGTAATGCAGATTAAAATTTTAATGCATAACCTTTATTAACTGATCAAGATTGAACAGCTTATGGAAATACGTCCTGCTTTACACTTGTAATCACTTGTCCCTTGTCACTGGAAAACAAAACTAAGTGTTTGTGAGAGAGAGCAAACCATTTAGAAGTGTTGGAGCCACTTTCGTTGACTCTCACCCATAACCTTTATTACATTAATAATTACAAGCTAACCAAAAACTTTGCTGCCTGCTGACAATCACCCTTAACTAAAGTTATACTGGTATTTAATAGCCAAGTTTTAGAGTATTAAAACAATAGAAGATCAGCAGTAGATAAAGAAAGTTTTTCAAGACAAGCTCTATCTACAATTGAAAGAAAAGTCACCACATGATACCTTTCTTGAACTACATATAGCTGTTCTTAGTGATTCATGGTACATTAAAGTTTTAGTTAATTCATATATCCTTTCTTCAGATAGTACAATTAAAAGCTGAAGGAAAACAAACTCTTGAGAAAGGCATTTTCAGAAACTACCTTGACATACTCTTCCATGTCAAATTCCACAAACTCTACCTTAATATCAAGTACCAAAAACTGACAATGAAAAACCAATTTCACATGTAGCACTCAAGGAACTATTTTCTGAAGACAAAGGAATGGACAGTTTCTAAAATTTTTCTGAAGATCAAAAATAAGACTCCATTTTCTTAACAGTATGCCTTCTACAAGCCTTCATACTATAAAATAATACTAATTCTCATTCAAACAACACAACAAACAATTAAAATCCTTTGCTTCACTGAAAGAAAATGCCAGTAGAATTTGAGAAGAAACAGTAGTGACAGATGTCATTATAAAGGTCATTAAACACATTAGTATTAAGAGAAAAATCAATGCTTCTCATTAAAACTGTAATGTAACTGTAAAAAGGAATTACTGCGCCTTTTACTTATTCAACTGACCGGTCCACAAACTGTTAAAACCTGTTATTATGAAATGGTTTAGTTCATAAAGAACTTATTTAAATAAACAGTATGACCTTCAGTGTTATACACAAAATCTATAAATTATTTCATCAATTTTTCTTCAATAAATTCATATCCTCAGCTGAATGGAGCTGATAAATGTTTATTAGCAGAGCACATGGAGCTATACACATCTGCACCAGAGAAAGAGCCAATATGGATGCCAATAAGATTATTTCACATTGGGTTCTTCATGGAGCAGTTGAATGTGACACCTTGTAAGAAAGACTGTTTTCATGAGGGTCAAGTACAAACTACTTTCACAATTTTACTTAATCCAATTACCCTCTCCCAATAGGATTTCATATTCTTTATACATGGAACATCAACCATAATGCAAGCTACAGGCAAGCTCTGGTCCCTCGCATTCACCAAACTGCTTACTTTTCTTCAAAGCAAAAATAAATGCAGACATTAAAATAAAGGGGAAGTTTCATTTTAAAAACACAAATTTATACAGCATATCCTTGGAACCATTATCCTTCATTTAGAAATACTTCTTTTTCACAAAACATTTATCTCAACTCTCTTTCAGTTTGGCCACAAGCAGCAATGGTCTAATTCAAAAGAAATGACAAAAAAGATCTCTCTAGTCACATTATTTCATTCAGTTGTTATATTTCTGGAATTCATTAAAATACCTGCCCAAAATTTAATGGTAGTTTAAGTCTACTGACCTCTGTATTAGAGTAGAAAAAATTTTACCTCTTTTGTGCTCCCAGTTCCCACAGTCTCAGTCAAACTGGGAAATGCTTTTTGACAACACTGGCACTAAAGAAATCATTTAGCTTTTCTCTTTCCTGAATAATAAGTATTTAGAGGTAAACACTGCAAAGTAGAATAAAATGCTAAAAGGGATATTTTTTTAAAAATGTCTACTGATTATTAGTATTACCCCAAGAGACTTTTAATAGACATTTCTTGTTATGCAAATAGTAACTAGTCTGCCAGGAAATACTTTGCATTCTCTGAATATTTGGCATAAAAAAGGTACAAATCTTAAGTTAAGCTGTACCCCAAAATCTCTGGGCATCCAGCTGCTAGTACAAAAATTTATACAACTGTATGTCTAGGGATCAGACAATTTCAGAAATTACCCATTTAATAAATTATGGAATAATAAAACAAAAAACAAAAAAAAAGTGCAGTGCCATAGAACACACAATGAAGAACAAAGTTGTGCATTGGGACTTTTTTTAAAACTGCCATAGTACTCTATGCTATAGTACTCTATTATATTATCATCCTGGATAAGGAAAGATGACTCCCAAATTGTCTTGAAAAAAACAACATGATGGTCAGACATTACTAGGGCTCTTCTAGTGTGGTGTTGAGAGGTTAAAGGAAACTCGGTTGGTTAGTTTTGTCATGGTGCTAAAACAAAAAGTCATTCTTACTTGAAATAGAATTAGAAATACATACCAGATTTGGGAAGCATTTAAATAAGTGCAATTATGGGACTCATTCCCTGAATAAGGATAAATACAATTGTCTCCTACTTTACAATAGTAGCAAATTTCTGCTGAGAGTAGACATATATGTGTCGTTATTTATATCATATTTATGTGATTTATTCAGTACCTAGAGACCTAATAAAATTTTTCATCTTGACAGGAATAATTTTTATGTGAAAACAGAAACTTTTCTCAAAGATTTTTAG